CTTCAGAATCGACTCCAAAAAATACCAAAATCACTCAAAAAATAACTTGAAATCTCATCCTCAAGAGAAATACTTCATTCAGTAATAAAGACACAAAAGATATCAATGAACAAGAAGATGTTGCGTGTGCTGAAAAGAAATCCATAAATCTTCTCCTCCAACTTCCTTTCCGACTGTACAAAAAAAAAGAACTTTCAGTTTTGTTGCATGGCAAAAAAAAAACCTCGACAAGAGAGAAGAATGGGGCAAAAAATGAATGATCAGGGTTGATTTCATTTTCATGTAAAAGCACAGTCAGTCTACCACAATAGAATGAGACGGAAAATCCCACCTTTCAAATATAATCCATTTCACGTTCATCCTCATCACATTTAATTTCGTTCTCTTTACAATACATTCGATATAGCTGAAATAATGGGATTTGTCTGCCTTACCTCCTTACTTGTGCCTTAGTCTTTTTTTTTCTGACCCATTTCTTCGCACAAGTTAATTTTGCAGAAATAATAAATCGAATAGATTTTTTTGCATTAATTTTTTTTTATTGAAAAACTTCCTCGTGTGATGCTGTACAGAAGGAAAGAAATATTAAATTTATTTATCGGAATTAAACTTTATCCTATAAGCAATTTGAACTTTTGTCGTTCCACTCCCACTCTCCATCAAATTGATACTCAGTTTTATGAGCTTCCAATCGATCGAGCGAAATAGATTGCAATATAATAACTCTTAACAGTCATATCATTATGGATAAAATAACCTTCCGATTCGATCCTTTCCATCCCAAAAAATAAAAAATTGAACAGAGAACTTTGTGCTGCTCTTTATATATCGCAAAACTTTCTTTCTCCTTTCTTTTTCTTTTTCGTTCCATTTCAATTTATTTGATGATGGTTATAAAGGAGCTCATCTCATTTATTGGTCATGACCTAGAAAAAACTTCTTCATAAGCGTAACGGAGGAATGGATGCTGTTGATAGAAATTTTCTAGGTCCAGTTTTAAATTTTGTGATTTTTTAATCGTTTCTTTAGGTTTCAAGAGCCTGCATGAGGTGTATTTGGTGATATTTGAGTTTATATTGACACATTGTAAGCTTTCCAGTCGGGCTTTGACTTAACTACTCCACAACATTCTAGAAACAATTTGGAATTAAATAACAACTGCTCAAAATTCAGGTCTTAGACTAGTTGCTCACTATCACTATAGCTTTGAACAAACACTATATCTGGGAAACAAGCAAAGGATCAAGTTCAGAAGTGAATTTTAGTCAAAGGGCTCTAAAGTATGCTTATTCACAACATCCAGAACTTACAGTCATAACAAGATGCAACTCTACATCCTCATAAACTTATACAAATTTAACAATAATTCCCACAAAATATTTGTTGTGTCGCATCTATAGATCCTCGACTTTCTTTTATATTCTCGTTCCCATTTTCAATATTCAATATTTTTCTCTATTCAAGAATGCTTAGTATCAGCATCTAATCGCATAAATACTGCACAATATAAGAATATTGACTTCATCGTGCATCGCAATTCCCATTTAAGAAAAGGATTTCTCAAATGCTGTCGAGTTAAAGTGCATTGAGGAGATACACTTTTAAGACGATAATAAGAAGCATTGTGCATATGGATGTGAAGGAATGAAAATATTTTTACGATGCAAATTCCATTTAATGCTTATAAGGTTTTTTTAAGTATGTTTGCAGCTTTGTTGTCTAGAGAGAACGAAACTGTTCGTGGTTTGGACGTCTGTCAGAATCTGGGTGACTTGAGTTTGTAGAAAATAAGTGTCAATTCAGAAGAGTTGGGCTTTATAAAAGCTTCAATGATAATCCAGTTCAATTTTATGCTCATGCTCTATTTTCAACTCCATATGACCCTTCCTTGCTTCTAATAATTCTAAACTTATATTGAGCTTTAAACAATTTCTTTCCCCTAACCATAGTTCCAACTAGCCTCGTTTATTCCTCTCCTTTATTCTTCCACAAACATTTATTTTTTTCATAATTTCATCCCTCATATATAAATATGTTTGTATACTTACAATGTCTTATGAATAGAAGAGCAACAAAAGAAGAAGAAGAAGGAGTAAGAGAGAAAAAATTCAATTACATCACATGTTGTTATTCTTTATGGATGGAGAGTTAAAAGCTAGCACACAAAACGAGAAGAATGGAAGGAGGAAGTAAAAGCAAAAAGGCGGACGATTTCTCATTGAGTGGAAAAAGAGATTGATTTATAAGTCACGTCAGACTCAATTAACTGCTATCGTGATTGGTAATTGATACTGACATTGAGTTAACAGGAGGCAATAAGCTTGTAGTTATTAAGTTGTTATGTCATTCAATTTGATCAAAATTTTGGAAGGATGATGACGCTTTCGGAGGAAGTTGGAGGATGATGGTAATTGAAATATAGCTTTTTGTGGGATGAACGATATGGAATTAACAAGCATTTAATCTTGTCGCGATGCTGGCCATTCAAATACCTTCCAGGTGCAATTAGTAATTATTTTAAAAATAATCTGAAGTCATTTACGACATCAGTCATTAAAATTTGATTGTTGCCATCCTCTCATGCCACAAACCCCATCAGTATCCACACCCAAAATCTCTCAAATCAATTACATTCCAGAAACCACATACAACGCATTTGCAAATTGATCTTGAAAATCTACTTGTCCATAACCAAAAAATATCACGTGCTCCTATGTCAATTTACGTCCATTTCCATGAAAAAATTATCCTTAATAAATATGCGATAGGCACGCTCCCACAATTGCCATTAGGTAACATAAACACTAATATGCCCACTCATTTAATGTCTCTTACTGCTCTCAATTTGTTTCTTAATGTGAAAGTCCTACAAGATTTTTTTTTCGTATCTGACTCTCTTAACATAGAAGTGAATATGTAGTAAAGGAATTATAGAAAGTTAATTTTGTAGAATTTAAGGTTAATTGAGCTTGAATTTAGCATGAGTTCGAGTTGATTCTACACAAAATTACAATCGACTTCCAGCTCTGATTTGAAGCACAAAAAAATACAAAATTGTTGATCTCCTTAAAGCTTTACTTAAAGACAATCAGTCATTTTAAAAGTAAGACAAAAATCGCTAGAATTAATGTCTGGAAGTTTAGAAAGTACGAAGGAAAAACATCAATTTATAAGTATAGAAAACATAATGTCCATCTTGTATCTAGGCGTCAAAACAAATAAGGCATGAGAAATATATGTCCATAAGTATGTTACGATAAGAAATAACATTTAAGGGTTAATGGCTGTATAAGTTTCCTTTCTTTCGTCCACTTCCATTCAAAATAAAATCTCTTCAATAAAAGGTTTAAGTGGAAACTTAAATGGATTGTTTGTATAGGATACACTCACATATGTCTTACTCTTTTGGTACATATTTCTGTACATGGATGTGAAGCATTTGGATCTATCCTAAGTGAAAACATGATGATCTCTTAATTCCATCGCCCAAAAAAAAAAAATAGTAAAAAGAAGAACGAATGAAAAAAGAATTTTTTACTCAATGTGACAAGCACAAGCTACACAAATGCATAAAACATTTTCTTTACCTTTTGGGACAACAATTGAAAGCTCAACATGAATTTTTTATCAAACCAAACAAAAATATTTCTTGCTTTGACACAAGAGAGAAAGAAATGGATGTGAAAAAATGAGAATTTTTTGTTTGCTTGAGTTTGATGGAAGGAGCTTGTCTATTTGGACAGTTTGGACTTAAAAGTTGTAGAATTTTGAACTCGTTTTTGAGATGTTTGCATTTGAATGTTGAAAGTGCTTAGAATAAGTAGTTTTTGACTGCTCTTGGTCAGACCAAGTCATAATCATGTAATCACTAATATCAAAGAAAATGCGCGAAAAAGCACCAAACTTTTCACATCACAAAGGTACTTCCGTTATTTCAGCGAGTAACAAAGCAGTATTTTTGGATGAGGAAGAAGACAAATAAGAATACAGCATGAATAACAACAACAAAACGACAAAAATACAAATTTCTGGTCTCTGTTGAGGATATAAGAGTAAGAGCGAAAGGAAGAAGAGGATGAGAAGCACAGAAGGAATTTAATGAAGAAGTAGAAAGGAATGGCATGATAAATGGATGTTACATGGCAGCAACTTACTCTTAGAATATCAATGGCAATTTTTTTTTCTTTTTCTCGGTAATTTCGACATAAAGCAGAAGAAGGAACATGGCATATTGAAAATGTATCTTTTACTGACCTGCTCGGTGAACTGAGAATTTTTTTTTGTCGACAAGCATAAGCATCGCCAATGTTCCGAATTAAAAGAGATAAAACTTTGCAGGAAGAAAGTGGTACATGGCAAGGTGGGAAAAAGAACTCGGTGAAAACATTTCACTTACTTCGCTCATAAATTATCGTTATAAATTACAACTTTGTGACCTGGAGAGGTTCCTCTGAGAGATATGGAAACAACATTTACTCTCTTGTTTTCTACTTGCTTGTTAGTGTTATACTATTTTGCATTAAATTTCAGGTAGCAAGGAGGGGGAATGGAAAATGTTACTTCTGTTTTATGTTTGCTAGATTATGCTTTAAATTATGAAGTGAGGTTAAAGAACTGCATTAATGTTGTTGCTAAGTGACAGTGAAATTGATTTGAAAGTAAGTGTGAATTAACACACTTACGGTGGCTGCTACGAGGTGGATATGAATTTAAAGCTTTTGTAAATTGAATCAAAAGATGTATTCTTTTGAAATTTCTATGCAAAGCTAGTCTCATAACTTTCAGGCGTGGAGCTAGAAATCGCTTGTTTTCAGCATATCTACTTTAATACTTATCAGGATTTATATGGTCAATAAACTTGCTATGATTCATTCAGATATCATTAACAGCAAGCTGATGAAATCGCAGATCTATTCAAAATAAAAGACAGATAACATTAAGGTACAGTCATCAAAAGTTATAAAATGATGTCATGCATTATAACAAAAAACTGATTCAAATTCGCAACATTACTTATTTTTTTATTCTCAAAGATAATTCCACAGGAAGAAAAATGAAACTTTAATTTATTCAATTTTTAAGTTGATTGCTGGATGTTCCTGTTATAGCAGAATAACTGGCGCTCACACCATTGGAAAGTCCTTTAAGGCTCCACATTACGCATTTGCGGCAGTACGATGATCCTCTTGGCCCCACATGCCTTACTTCCAAAACGTCACGTGATATTCTAAATCTTGAATTTTTAAAATATAAAATTAATTTTTATTAGCTTTCAAGAAATACCTTATGGATGTTTAATATACATACCCAATAAATATTACCAGCAAAAGAAATGCACAAATTAAAAATAATCCAATCATTTTGATGTCAGAAGTTCTGTTTCAACTAAAAATTTAATTTAATAATGTTCTGTTTTTATACAGAAAGATAAGCCACAATTTTCAATGTTATAAGTATATCATGTTATACTTTTTACTTTAGTTCTAAATTTGTCATTTAATCTAAATGAAATAAATCATATTAATTTTATGAAATTTGATTTTTTTATGAAATTCGTAAAATTCCTTAAAAAGCGTTTAAGTGCTTAAAGATTTATAGCAGTGTTGCCACGGAACACAGTTTGGACAACACTGATCTATAGATTCGAAATATCTCAAATCATCAAACTTGACAAACTCCGAAAAATTACGGAATCTTTCAAAATGAAAAGCTCGTCACAAAACTTGAGCACTTCCAATTCATTAGATGCACAACTCATAACCTACATTTGCACATCTTAAAGTTTTGCAGTAATTAAATACATTGAAACTTTCATCCATAAATGAATACATCATGCAAATTATTTACGTTAATTACTTTACATCTCTCGCATGCTCTATCAAATTATGCATGAAGATCATTCAAACTTTTCCCTTTTCATTGCTCTCGAAATTAAATTTTAGTCTCAGGGAAAATTGCAGTCAATTATTTATTTAATTTCCATCATGTGTATGTGTATGTATGTAAGATGTTTGTGCCACGTACATTAACTTCGTGTGTCTCTTCTGCCCTTTTCATTTACTCGAAATTGTATTATTTTTTTGTGTGTCTATATGGAACATCTTGCAGAAAGAACAGAGAAAATTGGCTTCTATGTACACGTAAATGACTTTCCTTCGTGACTCAAAATAATGAAGAGAAAAACAGCTGTTAACAACATGGAAAAGACATTTTCATGTCCCAATCTTGTATCACAAGTCTCTCATTTATCTCCTCTTAATTTCACTTGATTAAAGACATATTGTGTTGTAATGGAACTTCCAAAGTCCCGTGTTTCTCTTTAATTTAACAATTTTGATGCTAAAAAGCCTTTTCATTTTGAATATTTATACATTTTTCTTCTTCTTCTTGCCTTCCTCCCTTCCATCATCCCTCATTCTCTTTCGTCTCGTATATGGAATACGTAATTTATTCTTATTTAACTCTTACCAAATTATTCACATTTTTTATCCTTTTTTCACATAGACTTCATGTATTGTTGTGGCTTTTTCGGTATTTGTTTGAAGGAAAATTGAAGATTTTCAAGCTTCCTTGGGAAATTTTTTATGTAAATTTCTTTTCTATTTTTCTAGCAAGTATGTTTATATCGTTTTCCCGAGAAGTGAAGGCTTTGGAACTTTTTTAATGTTATCTAAAGCCCGAATAGCACAAGTCGGTCAATCGAATAGAAATCTAGCGCCAAGCCGGAATGACTCTGGCTTCGAATCAAATCCAGCACCATGCTAGAGTCACATTGTGATGATGATGTTCTCAATTTTAAATGCTTGCTGCTTGTTTGAGACTGTCACAATATGTTAAAAGCAGTTAAAAGTTTCAATATTAAAGCTTATGAGTCATGGAAGTGTCCAAATGTCATGATAAGTTTTGAACTCAAAATATTTAACAGTAATAAGTCACCAATACCCTAAACTTTGTGATCCTTAGCTTCTAGAGCACATGTACAGTACAATGGGTCAGGTCTCATACGATACAAAGTGCTCAGCCAACATTAACTTCAAACAAGCTACGTTTTAGTGCTGCAACAGTCTTAAAGTTCTCGAATCTAGCCTAACATTCCGTTCAATCGAAGCAGGGTCGCCTTATTTCTGCTGCTTTTCTCTATTTAATTCCTACTGACAATCAATCTTTTAAACGTTTGTTTCTTTGCTTCAAATTAACATCAACCAGACATCATGCACGACTCGGGTCACATGTTTATACTTGTATTGCTTTTTGCACATCCCTTCCTCTTCTCATCTTTTTTTTCTGTAAATAAAATGAAAATATTGATTTTCTGTTCATTCTTCTACTCTTTTCTTTCTTATTCTTGTCTTATTTTTTGATGATGCAAGTGTGCATACATTAATGAATGACTATAAAGTAGAAGAAAAATGAGATTTTTCAGCAGAAAGCAACGAGATGAATAAGAAATTTGTTATTTCATTAAACTAGTTTTTCATGTGCATTGAATTTTTATCGAAAACTTTTTTTTTTTGAGAATCAAATGAAATTTGAAGGATGATGATGAATATCATAAAATCTATAAAACATGCATCGATTGAAATGCAATATTTTTAAGCAAGAGAATGTGATGAAATTTGATAACAAAAAATAATGCAAAAGTCAATTTAGTTTCATGTCAGCATGTGTCAATAATATTGAATGCATTTTACTCTACAACCTTTTATGATTCCTTTTTTCCAATGCATTGGGGTTAACTGAACAGGTCAATTGAAATGTCTCAACTTTCTGCTTGTTATCCACTTTGTATTAAATTGTATGAATGGAAATATATAAGTTCAGTGAGTAGAAGTTAATCTTAGTGCACATCAAGTTATTTAAGTTTAAATTCTTTGTGACAAGCTGGAGTAGAGTTAGAGCAAGGGAGGATATGTGGTTGCTAGAAGTTCCTCAGATTATATTACAGGATCTTAACTTCTTTTACTCAAGAAATGTTTCATTAAATTAACAGCATCTTTATCATAATAATCCTTAACATCCTCAACCTAAGAAGTGTTTCAAGCTTTTCATTTAATCTGTTAAAAAATTTTATCTCAATACCTTAATAACAATTCTCATCATTTCCAGGCTCAAAACTTCAACTCATAAAAGTAATCTTCTTCCTCATTTTTTAGAATTTTAAGAAGCATCACACAAAATAAGAACCTTAAAACTTCCAATGAGAAACTTTTCTGAAAGCTTCATCATATCAAAAATTCAAAACTCTGTATAAACAGCAATTTTTAAGTAACAAACAACTTCCACTTATTGCAGTTGAAACTATAATTTCAAATACCGCCTTCAACCTATTTCCTTAACTTTAAACTTCCTCTATTATACCGCACATGGATATATACTGTATAAACTTTTCATTGCAAGGAACATCACTTTTCATATACAGCACAGAATATGTATAGAAACTGCATCATCATAAACTTATCATAAATGTCAACACATCTTCCTATACTTGCTTGCCATCTTCATTCCTTGTATTTTAAGCACTAGTTTTTTGGGAATCGTTGTGATCAGTTTTACTATTTGGAATGTTGTGGTTTGCCAGCAGAATGATTAAGATGCAAAATGTGGCTTTAAAGCTTTGAGTTTCTAGCTCTAGTGCAGCTTAGTTTATACCCTAAGTGCAAAAATATCAAACAACAAGATTGTAACCCTGGAAGCTCACATATTAAATAAAGAGTTCCTTGAAAATGCGCTTTCAAATCATCTCATCTTCAACTAGGCTTCCCAATTTTTATTATGTCACATTTCCATTTATACAGCTTCATATATATATTTTTCGTCTGATTCAGTATGCAGAATAGAACTTCATCAAAGGACCATGTAAATGTGCAAACAGGAAGGATTAAAATCATTAAATGGAGATAAGGGAGCATCAATGTAAATATTATGTACCTTTTATGTACATTGCACAATATCATAGAATGAGAGTAAATTTTTCCTCTGTGTGCAGAGAATTATGATGGAATTGCCATTTATATTGACAAACTTTTTATATCTCATTCCATCTCGAGCATGCATATAAATTTTTTTTGTAAAACCAAGTTTTATGAGCTTGTGAACTTGGATTATAGTAGATTTTTGATGTTTTATGAATCAAAAGAAGGAACGTTACATGAAATGGATACACATGATCATGAAACATAAATATTGTAGGAAGCAATATGTGATTTTGTGCTTATAAAAGTATTTAATATTTTAGGCTTTTTTTTTGGAAAATTTCGGTTTTTGTGTACGATTCTGTCAAGTTGCTAAATACTTGAGTTTATTCTTTGATGCTCAGCGTAGTCAGTTCTCAAAAAACACATCCAGGACTAAAGACAAGACTTAAAATATTGTCCTTATATCCATGACAAATCACATACGAACATGTGCCTCTCAGTCCTTAATCGTGCTTTCACTTCATAAATTTCAAAAGACCAATATTTTAGGTCATGCAAATCAAGTTATTCCAATATTAATTTCACCAAGCCACGCATCAAAGTTCAAGCACTCGCCATAAAATTACAAATTCCACATCAAGCATCCGACAATGTCTCATTTCATCGCAAAAAGACCTTCAAATCACATAAAGTTCAGAAACAAAATTTGAAAGTCATACATCAGCGGCATATATGCATAATAATATCATAGCAAGTGCTTCATATCATATCTCAACACAGGAGATTAAAAAATATATTTATATTTTGGGAATTGAGATAATATGCAAATGATGTTAGCGATGAAGCAAATTATGTGCGGAAAATCCCTCATTCAACACTCGTTCATTCTATGCATATACATTAGATTGTAGGTGTCTATATTATAAGAGTCAATACCGACACCGTAGGCCGTACGAAGAGAAATTTCAGTCACGGTAAATGTAGCAAAGAGGAAAACTTTGTGTTTGTATGTCGAAAATGAAGTGCTTTATCGTTCACACTTTTTTCGGTTAATGAACATTTTTTTTCTTGCCTGCTTGCCTGCCTGCCTCACGAAGGTGGCGATGAAATTGCGGATGAGAATATCTTTCATATTTGATCTCACGAAGTGAAAAAAGAGAGACGTTAATGTGGTACTTAAGCTGTTGTAATTTATGAGCGATAATGAAGTGAGATGAAGGAATTAAGGAGGGCCTTTTTATGAGATGGATTTAAAGAATTTTTTTCTCTTCTTCGCTGTCTTCTTTTTCGTCATTTCAATTTTTTTGTGGGTGAGAAATTTCCAGTTGTCTCATAAATGACATAAATTGAATAGTCAGAAAGGTTTCTTGAAATGATTGGTTCATGGTCGTTCTAAGGAATCTTAATAAAAACTTTGGATGCCTTCTGTCGACTAGATTGGATACTTCGTCAACTTCTATCATT